AAAGAAAGAAAGAAAGAAAGAAAGAAAGAAAGAAAGAAAGAAAGAAAGAAATGTGCAAGTTATGTTGATTATTTTGAAGTCATAAAAAAGTGGTCTCAGAAAGGAGTCTGACAACCATATGGATGTTCAGAAGTGTGAAATCTGAAAATGATATCCTTAATGTAAGGGTGGGAATGAGAGAAAGACTTGAGATGGGGAAGGGTGAGTTACAGACAGGGGACTGCAATTGCATAATACAGACGTTAAGATTTTGGGTATGTAAGAAGAATGCTAAATAGAAAAGAATATATCAATTACATTAAAAGAAGTTACATAAAAGAATTCTCCTACAGGTGACAGAAAAAAGACTGCAAGGCCCACTTCTTATTCCTGGTTCTAGAGCTAGATCTTAGCTAGATCTAGAGCTAGTCTTAGGGATTGAGCCTGCAGTGACTTTTATGTGAAAACAGCTGTGCTTTTCATGGAAAGCTTCACTGAAGATGCCTTATACAATCTGAGTTTTGAAATGGACAAGAACTAGGCAAGAACTGGGCAAGTACAAGAAACCAGGACCCTACTGAAGCTCATCAGGTTCTTCCTACTGAGTTCAGTAACTTTAATGCACCAGTGGTATGTTTGGCCTCTGACTTTCACCAAGTGCACCCTTCCCATCCCAGATTTTGGGAGGTGGTGGCTTTGCCACTGAGACTGGAGTGGGACAACAAAAAAGCAGATTCACAAACATTGTAACTTCTGTATAGCACAGTTCCATGTGTTTCCATATGGCAGGGCAAATAGCTACAGGTCACTGGTCTAACAGCTGAAGGCAAATGACTGAAGTCCTGCGTATGCTGCCACAGGTCTGGCCACATGTGCTTTTCCAGGTCGGATGGTGCAGCTCACCTCGGATGGCGCAGCACACCTCGGATGGCCTGCTCTCTGCCCCAGAGCGTGTGGCAAGCCAAGCAAAAGGACTCAGCCTTGGGGTTTGTGTGTCTGGGTCTACTGAGAATCGGGAAGACTAACCAGAATGATCATAGAGTCATAACGATTGGAAGGGACCTATAGAGATCATCTAATCCAACCCTCCTGTACACACAAGGTCACCTAGAGCTTGTGGCACAGGATTGTGTCCAAGTGGATTTTGAAGATCTCCAGCGAAGGAGACTCCGAAAGAGAATCACAGAATCACAGCCTCTCTGGGCAGCCTGTTCCAGGGTTCTGTCATCTTCACTGTCAAGAAATTTTCTCTTAAGTTCCTGTGGAACTTCCGATGCTTCAGTTTGTGGATGTTTCTTCTAGTTCTGTCACTGGTCACCACTGAAAAGAGGCCGCCCCCTCCTCCTTCCTCCCTCCCTTGAGGTATTTATAGACACTGATCAGGTCCCCCCTCAGCCTCCTCTTCTCCAGGCTGAACAGGCCCAGCTCCCTCAGCCTTTGCTCACAGGGCAGATGTTCCAGGCCTCTGATCATCCTGGTAGCCCTGCGCTGGACTCTCTCCAGCAGCTCCACATCCCTCTTGTACTGGGGAGCCCAGAACTGGACACAGTACTCCAGATGTGGCCTCACCAGGGCTGAGTAGAGGGGGATGATCACTTCCCTCGACCTGCTGGAGACACTCTTCTTAATGCACCCCAGGATCCGGTTGGCCTTCTTGGCCACCAGGGCACACTGCTGCCTCATGGTCAACTTGTCGTCCACCATGACACCCAGGTCCCTCTCTGCGGGACTGCTCTCCAGCAGGTCCACCCCTAATCTGTACTGGTGTCCAGGGTTATTCCTCCCCAAGTGCAGGACCCTGCACTTGCCCCTGTTGAACCTCATGAGGTTTCTCACCAGCCAGTCGTCCATTCTGTCCAGGTCCCTCTGGATGGCAGCACAGCCCTCAGGGCTATCAGCTACTCCTCCCATTTTGGTATCATCAGCAAACTTGCTGAGGGAGCACTCCATGCCTTCATCCAGGTTATGAATAAATAAATTGAACAGGAGTGGACTGAGGATTGATCAGTGATGAAGAGGGAGAAAGATGTGCAAGTCCCATCTGCTCTGAGAAGGGCAAATTGAGAAGCCTGGTCTCTAGCTGTGGGACTTGAATGCTAGCACTCTGATTCTCTTTACCCACTGGATATTTTCTCCCTTGTGAGTTTTTGCAACATACAATTCTGTAAGAAGTAAATTGCAGCAGAATCTGTTGAGGTTTGATTTATAAAGGCCTCTGCCTTGCCTCTTTAGTCTTCCCATGTGGCAGCAGTCAAAATCCAAACACTGGTTTCTAATATTCATCGGGATGGAATGGGAAAAGCAGATGAAAGGTGAAATACTGAAAGTGGAAAGCAAAATGGAACAAAAGTCACCTGAATGCTCAGAGGAAAAGCAATCTGTCATGAGGAAACACAGATCAGAGCAACAACAGGCTTGCAAACAGTGAAATATCTCGTTAGGCAGTTGGAGTTATCACTGTTGGTTCTGATTTGTCAGCAAAGCTTCAGCTGTGAAGTTCCTGTGGCTTGGAGATAGGAAGATGGTGCTGTGTGTGTTCTTGTGATGCCCATCACCGCGGCTCACCAAGGCGCTGTGGCCTCAGCCCAGTGAAATGCACTTGGAAGAGCAGTGCGGGACAACCCAGAATCAGGCAGAAGATGGTGGCTTTTCTCCCCAGGGAGCACCTGTGGCATTTCCAAAGCCTTCCCAAATACGTGAGTGTTTGGCTTAGCTGAGGGATGGGAAAGGTAGAGGCAGGTGTTGCTCCCCCTCAGACTGACAGGCATTTGCTAGAAGCCTGGTTGGAAGTGCTGCTATTGGAGCCCTCTCTTTGCACACTTAGCATCCTTCCAGGAAGGAGCAGCACCGCGGTGGCGGCTGTTCCCTTGCTGTCAATAACAGATACTCGCTGAGCCCTGGAGAAAGCAAAAGCGCTCTTTGCTATGAGGTGTACCACCAAGTTCTCCTGTGGGAGCTCCAGGATCCAGATCTCTAGGGAGCAGTTCAAAACCTCTTAACTGGATGATTTATTACTACAACCATAGACCTCATAGCAGGCTGAAAGCAGCTTCTGTGCCCAGAAGTGCCTCTCAGCTTTACCCTTTACCCAGTAGAGGGTACAGTGTCTCCCCACAAACTCATTGGTTTTATCAAGCAGCAGAAGGTGAGAATCAGTCCTCCTCATCTCCATCGTGGTCTCCCATCACTAAAACGAATCACAGGATACCTACTTTGGAAAGAGCTAAAATGAGGTGAGATGAATCTCGACTTTTGGGACATGCTTGTAAGGAGACCATGGAGGCAATGTGGAGCACTGAGAGAGCTCTGTGGACATGGTGGGACCAGACAGGATTTTGCACACTGAGAGCCAGCAATGGGAGACTTCAGTCCTTTATTTCCTTCCCACATTTCCTTCATTTTCCTTTCCTCTCATTATTCCGTTGCAACGGCCAACAGTCTTTCGTCATTTGGTGAACCTCATAGCCTTCTATGATGGGGTGACAGGCTGGCTGGATGAGGGGAGAGCCGTGGATGTTGTCTACCTTGACTTCAGCAAGGCTTTTGACACTGTCTCCCATAACATCCTCATACGGAAGCTCCGGGACAGTGGACTAGACGAGTGCATGGTGCGGTGGATCGAGGGCTGGCTGGATGGCAGAGCTCAGAGGGTGGTGATAAATGGGGCCGAGTCCAGTTGGAGGCCTGTGGCCAGTGGTGACCCCAGGGGTCAGTACTGGGCCCAGTGCTGTTCAACTTGTTTATCAATGACCTGGACGAGGGCACGGAATGCACCCTTAGCAAGTTTGCAGATGACACCAAGCTGGGTGGAGTGGCCGACACTCCGGAGGGCTGTGCTGCCATCCAGAGGGACCTGGACAGGCTGGAGAGTTGGGCAGAGAGGAAGCTCATGAGGTTCAATAAGGATAAGCGCCGGGTCCTGCACCTGAGGAGGAATAACCCCAGGCACCAGGACAGATTAGGGGTTGACCTGCTGGAAAGCAGCTCCACGGAGAGGGACCTGGGAGTCCTGGTTGACACCAAGTTAACCATGAGGCAGCAGTGTGCCCTCGTGGCCAAGAAGGCCAATGGGATCCTGGCTGCATCAGGAGGATGTTGCCAGCAGGTCAAGGGAGGTGATTCTGCCCCTCTACTCAGCTCTGGTGAGGCCGCACCTGGAGTACTGTGTGCAGTTCTGGGCACCCCAGTATAGGAGGGACGTGGAGCTTCTGGAGAGGGTCCAGAGAAGGGCAACCAGGATGATTAAGGGAATGGAACATCTCTCGTATGAAGAGAGGCTGAGCGAGCTGGGCCTGTTTTCTCTGGAGAAGAGACAGCTCAGAGGGGATATGATTAATATGTATAAGTTCAGGAAGGGAGAATGCAGGGAGGAAGGGGACAGGCTGTTCTCACTGGTGGCCAGCGATAGGACGAGGGGTAATGGCCACAAGCTGAAGCACAAGAAGTTCCGTCTCCAGGTGAGGAGCAACTTCTTTACTGTTAGGGTGACAGAGCAGTGGAACAGGCTGCCCAGGGAGGTTGTGGAGTCTCCTACTCTGGAGGTCTTCAAAACCCACCTGGATGCCGCCCTGTGCCACATGCTGTAGGTGTGCCTGCTGGAGCAGGAAGGTTGGACTAGATGATCTGTAGAGGTCCCTTCCAACCTTAAATATTCTGTGAATCTGTGAATCTGTGACATTAGCCCCATCAGCAGTAAATTTAATGCTGTGAGCTACCTTCACCTCTGAAACTAAAGCTAGTAGCTAAAGAAGGTTGTTCTGAGAGGTACCAACAAGGAAGTGACACTGAGAAGGCAGATTTACAGAGGAACATTAGGCTCTTGCAATTTAAAAAAGAAACTCTTGAGAGTAGTTTAAGAAGCAATAATATGTATTTCAGACTGTTGAGTGATAGGCCTAAAGAAAAGTACATCAAGATCTCCTTATTTCTTTACTTAATGGAACATTGGATTTAGCCAAGGAATGTAAATGATTGATTGATAAGTATTTAGAATTCTTGAGGGCCATAAAGATCAAGGCAAATGGAATGATCCAAGGTAATTAATTTTGACACGGTGACAGCTGTTAGTTGTGGGTTTTTTTTCTCCTAAACAAACAGTGATATTTTTTTTCTCTTCTTGAAATGCTAGAGTAAAAGTAGAGTCTCAGTTGCCATGGACTTGCAATATTAAATGTCCTGGGATTTGAAAGGAGCGCTTATGGGCTGCAGCACTTACATCTGTAAGTGTAAAGGTGCAGTGCACACTCTCAATCTCTAAAGCAAAGAAAACATTGAAAAACAGCACTCGATTTCCTGATTTGTTTGTGTGTTGGTCCTTTGACACTTCTTCTTAATTAACAGGGTTGTTAAGAGACAAAGAAGAGAGAGAGAGAGATTAAGCAAAGAGAAGAAAAAAGCAGTTGAGGAATAAATATTTTATATTTAATTATAGGAACCATGCAGTGAGCATATGTGCTATGCCACATCTCTAAAGCAGAATCAGAGCAGCATTGTACCCTTGCAGATGCAACCCTCAAAAAGAGCAATTAGCTTTTTAACACTTTCTTTTCTATTATCAGGAAAGTTTCTCCTGAAACCCAGATATTTTAACAGTTGGATTTTATTTTCTTCCAGAATACAGATTTACCATGTTTACACTTTTAAACGCATAACACCAGGTTGGAGGTGGGGGGGAACATAACACTAATCAGGGTCCTCATTTGGAAGGGATGTCAGGACGGAAGGACCTCAAGGAAAACTTGACATCTGGAGTTTAACCAGCAGAGCTGACCACTGCAGTTAGCAATACCTTGTTGCTGAGCCTAGGTTTGCAGTAATGTAGAAAGGCTTACTGCAAAGAGTCCAGCGCAGGGCTACGAGAATGATCAGGGGCCTGGAACATCTGCCCTGTGAGCAAAGGCTGAGGGAGCTGGGTCTGTTCAGCCTGGAGAAGAGGAGGCTGAGGGGGGACCTGATCAGCGTGTATAAATACCTCAAGGGAGGCAGTGAGGAGGAGGGGGCGGCCTCTTTTCAGTGGTGGGCAGTGACAGGACTAGAGGAAACGGCCACAAGCTGAGGTACCAAAAGTTCCACAGGAACTTGAGGAAACATTTCTTGACAGTGAGGGTGACAGAGCCCTGGAACAGGCTGCCCACGGAGGTTGTGGAGTCTCCTTCTCTGGAAATCTTTAAAACCCGCTTGGACGCAGCCCTGTGCCATGTGATCTAGGTGACCCTGCGTGAGCAGGAGGGTTGGACTATTGCACTGTGGTGGAAGAAACCATGTGTTTTTCATTGATCCCAAGTCAGACCGAAAGGAGAGCAGGATCCATGTCTGGAGAAGGCTGTTTTGGTCTTTAGGACACTGAGACTCTGCAGCAAGCTGACCACTTCACTATTGTCTCTGTGCTCCACATGAGTTTGCTTCACACCTGCTCATTTACCCTGAGCAGAGGCACCTGAGATTCCCCAGTGCTCTTGCTGCCTGGGAGACTGGTGCAGCACAAGGCTCCTCAACCACAGGCTCTTCCAGCTGCAGGGTAGGGTGCCTTCCCCCAGCTCCCTTCCGCAGCTCACTGCGCGTTGCTTTTGCCTTCTCAAGTTGCACCAGGGGAGGTGCAGGTTGGATATTAGGAAAAGTTTCTACTTGGAAAGGGTGATCAAGCATTGGAACATAGTCCCAAGGAAGTGATAGGGTCCCTGGCAGTGTTCAAGAAACAAGATAAGGTACTTAGGGACATAGTTTAGCCACCATGGTGGTGATGGGTTAATGGTTGGACTCGATGACCTTCAAGGTCTTTTCCAACTATAATGATTCTATAATTCTTTGTGCTACCATGAGCACCTTTAGCCCTTTGCTTCCCCTATCCTGCAGGGAGGATCAGCAGCTCAGCCCAAGGCTTTGCAAGGAGACCCAAAGGCTGTGGTGGGCGATTCAGGATGGATGTGTTCACGCTCTCTCGACGCTTCATCAGAAAGCATGCTCGTACACAGCAAGGGAGATTAGAAAGGAAGAGGCTTACAGAAATGAAGTCATGTTCCTTTATTGCTGAAAATGAACCAGAAACTGTGCCCTTTTCTGGATTTTCATGCTTTTAAGTTTCTGCCCTGTTCAAGCGCCACAGTGGCAGATGCTGCCAATAAAGTGGAAACTGGGAAACCTCAGCAGAAAGCTGTTGGGAAGAGGCCTTCCAATTAGAGGTCACCGGGTCCCTTAAAGCTTCAGCTTTGCGCAGCAAGTTCCACGCTCCTCATGTAAAGCCGTATCTGCCTGTGACTCAGTTGTGCCACCAAGCACTGGACCGCCCTCCACGAGGCCCATGCACGGGCAGCTAATCCAGCTCAGTTTACCTCTGTGTACCTGGCAGCACGCTGCTGTGCACCCACCAAATATCAGAAGAGTTTGTGGCTAATTAGGATCAGATTAATCCCAGCTGACTGCCCGTCTCTGTGTAAAAAGGGCACGAGAGGTTAGAAAGTATTAAGTACCTTAAACGTCTCCTTGCATAATGCAAAACCTGCTGAAGATCCAGACTGTGTGTTTGAAAGTGTTGGTGTGAAGCTATTTGCCCTCCAGAAGTGTTTAAAAGTTCATCTTATCCTATCAAGACAAGAAAATCCTTCTAAAAATTTCAAGGAAATATAACACATATTTGACCACAGAAAATAATGAATCAGCAGCACAGTGGAGAAAAGAGAAGAAATTTTATGAGGTTTTAAAGGTTCAGCATATGAAATATAGCATTTTTCATAATTGCAATAAGGCTTTTCTGGTCTAGTATTGCACCTAATTTTACATTTTATTAGTTCCCATTTATCATAAAAATAAAACATAATAATAGATACCTTTATTTGCTTCCTGTCTATGGCATTCCTTATGGAGCCCTTGTGGAGATTCTCAGAAGAGGCACCTTTCCGTATTTTCATATGTTGAAATTACCACAGAGATTCATAATTTATTTAAGTAAGCGCATAATTCTTTATTGCACAAGCCGAGATAAAATTTGGAGAGGATCTGTGCTTTTTAAATGAGAAGAGATCTTGAGGCTGGTTAAAGCAGTTGAGTCACCAGATAGAAACTGGTAATGGTAGGATGATTTTTAGAGTCCACACAAACCAGGTCCATGGGAAAATGCAAAATTTTGACACATCTTCACATGTGCCAGTAGACAGTGGGTTCTTTTTTCCTTTTTTTTCTTTTTTTATTACTAGTGCATAAGAATTAGGGACATTTATGTAATGACAAGCGTGACGTTTTCTTTTGAGGTCGTCCGTTCCCATGGCTTATTGCCCATTTACAGTCACAAGCTCCTCATGACAACATCACCGTGGCTGCTGTGGCAGGACCTCTGATGTCACTCGTGCAGGATTGAGACTTGGGGTCGCTTTTAAGCTGCAAGAACAGGTCAGATCCTCGATAATGGGGTCTTGTTTGGCCCGACTAGCAGAGGGGAAGGAAGGAGCCTGCCCACAGCCTGTCATGGTTAAGCAGGACCATTACATAAGTTGGCAGGGCAGGACACCAGCAGCAGGCAGGACACCCACCAGCCTGCAGGACACCTAAAAGCTCAGTTTCAGGCAGGATCTCCAAGGAGGACATCACTGGATTCACAGCTTCTGACTTGATCTTCAAGGTGGAGAGATGGTCCCCATGGGATGCACTTAACCAGCCTGGCAATGCAGCTGTCAAGCTCAATAGGCCTGACTGCACCAGGCCACAGGGAAAGCAAAAGCACAACTGAGGAATCAGCCTATGCAGAGCTGCCTCTAAGTAACATTTTTCCTCTTTATTCACACTGGAAATATTTTGTTTAATTTCTCTCTTTTCTCCTCAATCAAATCCTTCTTTCTAAGAATCAGCTTCCTACAGAATGCCAACTCTGCACCCTCCTAAGTATTTAGGGATTTTTTGATTGTTTTGTTTGCTTTTTTTCCTGTTTGATTCCCTGTCTTTTTCAGGCAGATCAGTAGCAGAAGCTGCGATTGGGTTATTCTAGTGTCGTCTATATGGCATCATTTATTTGGCAGTATAGGAGATGGTGATAGTCAGTTAGAAGCATCCGAGGGAGGGTACTAACATTAGAACAAGCTTTTAAAGTATTTTATACTTCCTGTCAGCAATAAATGTACTTAAATTGTCAGTTCATGTAGTCATTGGTGAGAAGAATGCGCTGCCACCGCGTTACTCCCCACCGCTGGCCCTGGCTAGGAATGTGCCTCCTCCAAGCGCGCACCAGGCCCACACTGCAGGACGCTGGGTCTCCTGCAGAGGCTTTTTGAATACACAGATACAAATGTGATGACACTTTGGGGCCCAGGTGGCATTTCACACAGCTCTCGTGGCACTGATGCTGCACCTCAAGGCTGCTGTGGGCAGCAGGAGGGTTTCTCCACGGCAGCGGTCATGGCGTGAGGACAACTCACCGAGATCACTGGGGAAGGGGCTGATCAGAGCCCTCAAGGATCGGGATTTCCTACCAAGATCTTCATATAACACCACAGGAAATATATGGCATGATGAAGAGCTGGGGTTATCTCTTTGGAGCTCAAACAATGATCTTGCCCAAGAGAGCTTCTTAAGCCATCTTTCCCTATGAGATATGCACAGGATGACTACTTGGATTATAACGAGGATGTACAAAATCTTTATTCTCTCCTCCACTGGCTTTTCAAATAAGTTCCATCGATCTTTAAGAAAAATAATAAAAAATAATTAAAAAAACCATAATATTCATGTCCTGGGGGCACCCGTTGTTTTCATTGCGCGTGTTGGCTGGTTTTCCTTTAAGTAAAACCCCATAGGAATTATTCACTTTGCAGCCAATTGCATGTTTTGCACTCTATAACATTGCTTCTTACGGTGGCACAGTCACACTCATCTCCAGGTTGTCCCTTAAAGGGTCGTATTTTCTTCACACCCTAGTAGAAGGGCAGTGCAAGAGGCAGAGGCAGAAGTGGGCTTTTATATGACACGTGGATAGATGCAACTCACTTTGCTTGGAGGCATCTATCACAGCCAGCTGCCTCCCTGTGGAATAATCTGCATATGTAATCACAATGCAAATTGTTCTTATCCTGAAATTCAGCTGAACCTATTTCCTAATTGAAGGAATGTGTCGGTGTCTTGCAGTGAGAGCTCTCTTGTGGATCGGAGATGTAAGCAGGAAGGAAGCTGGTTTGGATTCAGTTTAATTTCCCAGGGGTTATATATTTTAGAGAGAGCAAGCACAGAAAAAAATATAAAGATACAGACAGAAGACTAAATTCCTTTCTCATTTATGATGAGGTAAATCTACAGTAATTCTGCTGATACCAGAGCTGTCTTCCTAGAGTAAAGGGAGGTTGTTGGAGGATGAACTTTATATAGGAAAGCAAACCAGGTGCTTTTAAAGAGAAAAACCTGCTTCACAGCATGTCATCCCTGCTTTTTCTTTTTCCACCCTTTCTTTGGGCTCAGTTCTTTTTGAATTGCTGTGTAAAGTTAGTGCAGCAGGAGCCCAGGCTGGCCAGGGCCTAAAATCCAAACTTCTCCTTTCCCCCTTCTCCTTTAAGCAGGCACTCCAAACCCAAAGCTTCCTTTTATTAGAAACAAGTAATACCATTTAAACCATTAATAAAAACTAATATAAAGTTTGATCTCCTGGGAGAGAGAAAAAAAAATGAAAGAAAAGCTTGCAAAGAAATTCCCCTTCGAATCCAGTGTTCAGGTAGATTGTACCTTTCTGTCCAGGGCCACATTTTAGTCCATCAAATTCTAGTTGCTTCCTGGGACTTGGTTGGTTTCTCTTGCCAGTTCACAGTAATGTAGATAGTGCAAGAACGACCTTGATGTTGACAGTGATACTTGGACTTCCCAAGTCCCAGTGCTTTGGCCAGGTGAGTGAGCAGAGGTTGTGCTCCCTTCAGAGCCCTCTGAGCTCCACAAGCCCATAGCACCATGGGCTCCAGCCTCCAGCCAGCACCAGCACTCCGTGAGCCCATATTTTCTCCAGATTTGTGCTAGATTTGTGCCTTTCATCAATTTTTCGGAGGTAGAATCATAGAATCATAGAATCATAGAATGCCGAAGGTTGGAAGGGACCTCAGAGGTCATCGAGTCCAACCCCCCTGCTCACGCAGGGTCACCTAGAGCACGTGGCACAGGGCTGCATCCAAGCGGGTTTTAAAGATCTCCAAAGAAGGAGACTCCACAACCTCTCTGGGCAGCCTGTTCCAGTGCTTTGTCACCCTCACAGTGAAGAAATGCTTCCTTAAGTTCCTGTGGAACTTCCGATGCTTCAGTTTGAAGCCATTTCCTCTAGTCCTATCACTGTCCACCACTGAAAAGAGGCCGCCCCCTCCTCCTCACTGCCTCCCTTGAGGTATTTATACACGCTGATCAGGTCCCCCCTCAGCCTCCTCTTCTCCAGGCTGAACAGGCCCAGCTCTCTCAGCCTTTGCTCATAGGGCAGATGTTCCAGGCCTCTGATCATCCTGGTAGCCCTGCGCTGGACTCTCTCCAGCAGCTCCACATCCCTCTTGTCCTGGGGAGCCCAGAACTGGACGCAGTACTCCAGATGTGGCCTCACCAGGGCTGAGTAGAGGGGGATGATCACTTCCCTCGACCTGCTGGAGAAGCTCTTCTTAATGCACCCCAGGATCCCGAAGGTAGCTTAAGACATTTTCATTTTTGCCAGGTGGGAATCAAATTCACAGCTTTCTTAGCATTTTTATTTCCCTTGGATGTGAACTTATCTAGGGACAACTCCCTCTGAGAATTCAGAGGTGGTCTCAGCCTGCAAATAACTGTGTGCATGTGAGTGGCCACCACTTTGGGTAGTTTCAACAGAGAGGTGCTCATGGCAGAGAAGTCTTCATTCAACAATGCTCTTAACCCAGCCTGTAATTTTTAATAGGAGAATTCTGCCACTCAAATCAATGGCAAAACATGCACATCCACTTGCTCTTGCCCTTCTTCATGTGTCCCTTGCTGAGCATGACCTAAATCCCAAGAGGCCAAGATAGTGCCCTGTATCAGCATGTATTCTGTCGTCTTCCAAAAACAGCAGGAATTCAGGAATAGTCCAATGAGAGCTGCCCATTGCTCCAGTGCTCCTTGGGGCCCTGATTTGTGTGAGTGCCTGGTCCTTCCCCTCTAAAAAGAAATCTGTGGCACCTAAACACCATTGCAACACCTAAATACAATGGTATTGTAATGATTTTTCCTTTGTGTTTTCCTTCTCAGTTGCAACAGGAATGTACACTGCAAAATAACTCAGAGTATATATTTATGTATATATTTTACCTATTGATAAGCTTTAATATAGACATTTTTAGGCTGTATTCCTCCCTGCCTTGGGTGCCATTGTGAGGCTGTGAATGTGATGAGCAGGGTTTTGTCCTGCCACACGTGAAAGGCCAAGAACAGCAGAAATGGTGTTTGAAGGGGTCACAACCCCAGGTATTCTGCTGCTGGCTCCTTCCAAGTGACCTCTTCCTCCTTTGGTCTCCCTGGAGTGCCCTGCTTTGTGGCTGCTTTCCATCCGGAAACTAAAGAGTAAATGAAAACTCTTACAATTTGGGAAAGACAGAAAGACAGACAGAAAGACAGAGAGACAGACAGACAGACAGAAAGACAGACAGACAGACAGAAAGACAGACAGAAAGAAAGAAAGAAAGAAAGAAAGAAAGAAAGAAAGAAAGAAAGAAAGAAAGAAAGAAAGAAAGAAAGAAAAAGCGACACACACACACAGAGCAAATAAAGATATTTCAATTGCATGGGATTTCTGAATAAGGTTTCCAAGTGGGGGGAAAAAGAAATAACTGTGTGCCTGGCACACAGAGAGCCCTTTCTCTTCTCCGTTGCGGCGGAGGAATCAATGGAATTCGTATGAAAGGCGGAGGGGGTGGGAAGAGAGATAGGAGATGCCTTGCCTCGTACCAGCAGCTCCCGAGCCTAATGAGGCTTGAGCAGCGTCGGGAGGAGGCTGCTGACCCCATCCCCGTGTGTACCTTTTTGTTCCTTGCCTTGGATTTGCTGGCCAGTGGCATGCTGCTTTGCCTGGCTCTCCACAGAGCCTGCAGCCTACAGGAATTTGGGCAGAGTGGTACAGACATCGCCGACGGAGACTCTGGTCCCTGAGTATCCCTTCAAAGGCGGCCTCATGACTTAGTCGCTCCTCCATTGCCTATTAAAGAAGGGGACTCGAGGTGCGTAGAGAGCTTCAGTTCAGACACCCAGGAGGAGCCAGAAAGGCAGGACAATTTAACAGAGCTAACTGTGAGTAAATGCGAGGCATTAGAGGTGTTCTCTGGAGCAAAGGGCATGGAGAAAGATTTGTAGGAAATCCTGGAGGGAAAGAAGGTGCTGTATTTCTTTTTTTTAAAATATACTTGCATTCTGCAAAATTCTGTAAAGAAAGCGCCTGGTCTTTCAGCGTTTTTCCTTTGCATACAAATCTATGTCTCTTTTCATATAATATAAACCAATGCTTTATTTCCCATTAAAATCTGAAGCAGGGATTTTTTTTTCTTTTTTTTTTTTTTTTTTTGTGCAGCAGGCATGAGTGCCTTTGGCGAATGCCCCTGGGATGTATTTCATGCAAGGAGAATCAGAGGGGCTGTGTTTTTCAGCCAGCTTTTGCAAGGTCTGCACCCCCTGACAGGCTGGAGCTTCCACGGACTGCAGCCCATAGGGTGGCCCTACTCTTGTGGGGCTGGTGGTAGCACCTTTTCTGGTGGGGCCGGAAGGGAGTTGGGCACCTTGGGGACACACGGATTTCACTGAGGTGTCCCTAAGGCTTTCAAGGGATGGTCGTTGTGCTTCAATGCAGCGTAATGGTCAACCACTCTGTATTGGGACAGCACCCTGGAAAAGCCAGGTCCTGGCTGACAGACTTATCAATAGGTCCCTACACTTCATTTGTTTCGTAACAACAGCTACTGGTGAGCTCTGGGCAGGTAACTGGTAATTGTTGCAGTTGCAAGTGGTAGTGATGAGTAATGATGAGGGGTAGTGATGGCTGGTGTGATGAGAAAGTTCCTTGGTCATTTCTCACACTGCTTCTCTGAACATCTATATTTGAAGGTATGGTCACCTGGAGGAGGCAGTTCTTTGGCCTGCCCCCATGCTGCCCCTTCTCTTCACGGCGTCCATCCTGTCTGCTTGCTGCCTAACCGAGAGCAGCTGCCTCTCCCACGATGACCTGAGAGAGCTGAAGACCCAATTTGCCATCAGCCTCTACCAGCACGTGGCCCGAGCGGAGAACAGGAGCAGCCTGGTGCTGTCGCCGGCCAGCGTGGCCGCTTCCCTGGAGCTGCTGCAGTTGGGAGCCCAAGGAAACACCTTTGCGGAGCTGCGCGATGCCCTGGGATACAGCATTCACGGTAAGGCACTGTTCAAAAAATTGCTTTCTGTAGTGATTGCCTTACATTATGCAGCCAATTCAGAGCTTTGCTAGGGGGGCAGCAATTGCAAACACCCTGCTGAACTTCTGCCCTGTTACAGGCACTGCAAGGGATAAAGCAGGACCATGTTCTCCATACATGCCGGCTAGGTATGATCTGGGCAATGGGAATTCTTTCAGTAGTTTAAATGCCTTTATTCCTCTTCCAGTGCTTACTCTCATTGCAGCAATATACAGCTCCATCCAGAGCAGCTCCTTCCAAGAGAGCAGAACTCCTCCTGTTTTCATGGGGCTTCATGGTCTCCCCTTGGCCTTCCCCAGCTGCCCCCTGATACCTCAAGCTGCCCCCTGGTACCTCAAACCTTTACTCCTTCAGCACAGCTGATTCCCCTCCTGTGTCCCCACAAACTGTATGAAACCTAGAGAAACCAAATAATCCTGAAGACTCTACTCCTTTTTAAAATACTAGTACAATTGGCCAAAAAGGCAGAAAGTTATTAGAAGGAGCAGAAGGAGCGATACATGGAGAGACAGATGGTACAATTGTTGCTTTTCCTGAAAGCAGACTAAAATAAATCTGGAAGGAATATAAAAAAGGCAGCTGTCTTGCAATCAAGCATTAAGTTAGCTTAATTGGAGGATACCATCTTTATTTAACTCTGGATTATCCCACCATCTCATACCATGTATCAGTTTTACCATTTTACATTATGGACCCAAAGTCTGTGAAAATCAAAAGACTGCCTCATCTTAAAAATTCACAGCTGGCATACAGCACTATTTCTCAGGATAAAATTTACTTTCATCATATAAAGACTAAAGAGAAAATCCACAGTAATTTCACTGTCCTGTGCTGTATCCTGCCACAGCCCTTATTTCCATTCCCCATATTGTTCATTGTCAAATCCAGCACAGTAGTAGTCCTGGCTAATCCACAGATACTGCTGCATCCACAGGCACAAGGACAGGGCATCTCTATTATGAACAGCCAATATAATGAAGTCTTGTTTGTAAAGCTGTAAGTTTCTGTAATTGCAACAAGGTCATTTTACATGACTTTCATTCATACTAGGGTTACACCTTGCTAACTGCCTCACTTCTCATCATGTATAGGCTTCATTATTAGAAAGAACAAGAATATTGCACAGTGAAATTAGTGGGGAAGTTCTTAACAGCCTGCCAACTCTTTGGCTTGGTGTCCTTCTCCTTTTTCTATGGCACATAGTATCTTAGAGACATTTTCTCACCATTTTAGCTGTGTATGTCAAAAGCCACAAGTTCTGAATTTCAGATATGTTCGGGTGTGAATGGGACATAACGTAGGATGGGATCTACTGCTACTGGTTGTAATAGCACATTTCCTGTGATGCTTCCATCCTGCAGGAAACCACTTCTTGGACAGCACATTTAAAACCAAATAAGCAAATAATAAGCTACATTACCTATCAGACCAGAAAAGCCATATATTGATATGCATACATGATAATATTTTGATAAAATAATTAGATGTTCGTATTAATGCTTTTGCTGATCTGTCTTCAACAATAATGAAGGACTTTGCAGACTACAAAACAAGGAAAACATTGATGGTTCAGCCACCATCCAGGGATAATCAGCTCTTGTAGGTACTTGTATTACTCCTTTAACATGTAGATTTGTTCACCTCCATTCTAGCAGTAAGGAAAACAATCTATAAAGACATGTCTCCCTTAACAGCATAGGCAAAATGAAATCCTTTAAAACGTTTTCTCCTTGCTGTTTTACCTCTGGTGGAAAATTTTAAAGCAATTCTGAGTAAGAATTCAGGACTTTGGTTACCTAAGGGCTTTGATACTGCTGCACTTATAAGCACAGAGTACAGCACCTCCCATTAACATCTGCTTCCATTTACCATCTTTGATTTCTTACATCCTCAGGAGAACTTGTCAAATGCTAGTGCACTAATGCAAAACACACAAGAAAAACACTTTACACCTCAAATTGTGTGAATTTTCTTCACATCTTCACAAAGAGTCCAGTGTTTTATTCTTTAAAGAGTAATAGGTCTAAATTTTAACACCAAGCTTCATACAGGCTTTCCCGGGTTATTGAAGGGACACTGTTAGGTTAGAAACCATGCCCTGGATTCTCAGGTGGTAGCAAACGGTATACATTAAAGTCCCCCTCTACCCCATCAAGCTAAGGTCTCTCTGGAGTCATAAACAAGATTTCCATCTGGGATCATATTGAACAGCCCCGAATTGCCACTTATGTGGAGCTGGATACCCATGAGCTGCTCAGGATGCCCCAGGGCTTCATGGTGAAGCAAACCCATGAGCCAAGCAAGACACCTTGGAGAAGTGAGAGGTGCAATATTGGGCTCCTTAGACATAGTGACCGACAGTCATTACCCAGCAGTGAATTGCTGAGATTTCACATAGGATTTAGGACATTCAGCTGGCACCTTGTCCACCTGGGAAACCTGGGAGACCCTTGGTGGTGCCAAGAGGCGCTGGCTTCTTCAGCAAAGAACAGTCCTCCAAAGTTTTCCCAGTCACAGTCCTGAAATAGGAGTTGCTACAAGCATTTTGGCACACAGAGGCAGAATTTTTAATTATCCCTGCTAATTGGAGGAATGTGTGAAGTAAACAGGATGTGGTTCAAAAATGACAAGTGAAAAGCTGTACATCTGGCAGGACCAATCACCTACTCAAGTTGGGGGAAAAGAGGCTAAAGAGCAGGGTTTTTTGACAAGGACCTGAGAGGGAGTCTTTGGAATTAATAATAATAAAAACTGTTTCCATACAATTGTGCCTCAGAAATAAGCAGTATTTCAATTTGTATAAACATATTAGTCATTTGTGATTCGCATGAAGCCACCTATCAGCTCTAGTTAGCCCCAGCTTGAGGCACTGTCCTTCAAGAAAGAAAACACAAAAGTGGGGTTTTGGGGAGCAGAGACAGCCCTGGAGTGCTCGGAGGGATGCTTTTCTTGGGATGGGTGGAATCAAACATGGCAGGAAAATGGGTCAGCAGGACTGAATTCTGGGACCTTAAGCTCTCCTTGACCATAGACACCAGATCTCCATTGAGGGCAATCCAGAGGGCCCTAAAGAAAGTAATATTCCTTCTGAAATAAGAGCTGCCTTCCTGCAGAGCAGTGAGACAGGCTGGGATGTGGAGGCAGCCCCTCGGTTGCTGGTTTCTGCAGCAACACGAAGAGGCCTTTGCCACGTCCAGGACATCACCGTGCGTGACAGCAGCACTGCATGAAGTCAAAGGTGCTTCGGTTTTCATATTGATTTAGTTTCATAGTGCTGCGTCAGCACCGAAGCTGCTGGGCCCTAACACGCAATCTCTGCTCTTCCTCTCCTCCGCATGGGGATCTCCTCGTGTTCCCTGTGTCCGGGCCGGCAGACGGGAGCACGCAGGACCTCGTGTCCGCGGGGCCGAGCGGCGGTGGCGGTGGGAAGGCCCGGCCGGCCTGCGCGCTCTTCGTGGGGGCGGCCGTGGAGCTGTCGCCGCTCTTCGCGGCGCGCGCCGCGCGCTGGGCCCGCGGCAGCCTGCAGCAGGCCGACTTCAGCGACGCCGGCGCCGCCGCGGCCCGCGTACGGCAGTGGATCCGCGCCAACACCGGAGGTAACGCCGCAGCCACTGCCCGGGGGGGAAATGTTCAATAAGAGCAGCGAGGGAGCCAGTTTGCAACCAGCGTAAGGTTTTTTGCCACATTTGCAAATACCGAGACTAGGAACCTCGAAAGCTAATCTCGGTGCTGATGATCATTTCTATCATTATCCTGGTGAGGAGGAACTTCTTCACTGTGAGGGTGACAGAGCCCTGGCACAGGCTGCCCAGGGAGGCTGCAGAGTCTCCTCTGGAGATCTTCCAAACCCACCTGGATGCCGCCCTGTGCCCCGTGCTCTGGGTGTCCCTGCTGGAGCAGGAAGGTTGGACTAGGTGATCTCTAGAGGTCCCTTCCAACCTTGAATATTCTGTGATTCTGTGATTCTAATGATGAGCAAAGAACACAGACTATATCTGAATCTGTCAATATACGTTTGCTTAAGCTGGCCTCACTTCTCTAATATTTTAAGTGATAAAAAGTCTTTGCAGTTGTCTCAGTTTTAATGAGAAGCAGCAAAGGTCCCCAGAGACCAGGTCTGCTGCTCTGGACATTCCTGTGCTGCTGTGAGGACCAGGCAGGGCAGCAAAGTTGGAACGCAGGCTCTGAAGTCAAACGGGAAAATAAAATAATTTGCTTTCCACACACACAAGAGAAATAATGAAACTAAATCAAATATTATAGAAAAAATAGTTGAAAAACTCCTTAAAACCATCAGAAAAAGTTAATCCTAGATTTATCTCATTGACAAAAGTTACATGAGTGTTATTTGGCCATCAATGTGTTTAAAACTAGTGTGATGTTAAACATATACACATTAAAGTTGTTATTGAAAAAAAAATATGTTCTTCTTAAAAGAACTTTAATAAATGATACGACTTTATGGTAGAAAAGTATAGCACTAGTTGCTTCTAATATGGAGAGAGGAGTTCATAATCTGGTAGTTACATGAATACTGATGAATTTAGAGTGGTTGCACTTCCAAAAGTCTCTGGGGAACGCTAGGCAGGATCAGTTAAACTGCCAGTTAAATAAGGACTAGGGTAATTAGGATCTCAGCTTCATCTGATATAGTTACTCCATAAAGTGGACTTTAATCATGAATGCATTTCATGAGGAATTTCTGCAGCTTTCTGCAGTTTGATCTTTATCAAACACTGAAAAATACATATCAGCCATTTTAAGCTAAGTTGGTATGAGTAAACTAGTCTGGGGCCAGGGCACGGTGGGGAGCAACGTCCTGCTGCCCTCTGTGCTATTCAGTTGTTAGCACCGTCCTGGTGTGACTTTGGCCCATGGCATCTCCTAACATGACAGCTCTGGGGAGCAGAAGGGCCACCAGGCACTAGCGCCACGTTCAGGGGTGGTGAGGATGGCTTAGCTGTGTGAATGCAGATTGAACCCTGCTTTACTTACTAGTACAGACCTGGGATTTATGTCTGTGTGCACAGTATTAATCCTCTACCTCTTCTCTGTGCAGATGGAAATGTCCCCAGCATGTCCTTGGAGACGGCTGCATCGCCACTCAATCAGATCGCTGTGGTCAGCACTATGTACTTCAAAAGCACCTGGCAAAAGAAGTTTTCCTTCATGGACACTCAGATGTTGCCTTTTACTACAGCCGAGGGCTCAACCCTGAAAGTGCCTACGATGCATCACACAGCCGAAGTTAACTACGGTAACTATCCTTGTCCCAGGTCTGCTCTGTTGTATGCAGCAAGGATGGAAGAGCTTTATGTATTGACTTTCCATGACCACTGTAGCGAGATGCAGTCTTTTCCCAGCTTGGAATAAAGAAATTCCATAAAATGGAAGAGACCATCTAGGTGACTGAATTGATTCCCTATAACCAGAAGCAGTCATGAAATATGTTGGGTTCAAAATAGTTCCTAAAACATCTGCTGTCTATGTGCATTCCTCCCAGCCACACGTAACGCCACAAGAACACCCGTGTCATATCCCACAAGAGAGGAGCAGGAGAGCCCAGGGGTGCCACTCTACACAAAATTCCTTGCAATTTGACTTGTGGGGCTCAAGAAGTATAAACATGGGGCAAATAAGCTGTCATGTATGCTCCTTACAAAAGCCTGGGGCACATGGGTTGTTCACCCCAAAATGAGTTTATTTACTGCAGGCTTAGTTTCTTACCCTCGGAAGTTCTTCCACTTAGTTATAAAATCCCTTTAAATTATACCAACTTTCTTAACTTTCTGTCTTATTTAAGAACTCTACTGGGTGAAAGCCTGTCTAACTTCAAGAGCAGTTTATAACTGTTGATATTGTGCCAACTTTATTGTTTAAACTAAATAGTTTCTTTTCGTTTTCAATAATTACTTCCAAACGTATGTAAGTCAGCAAGGTAACTCTCCATTTTCTACTGGCTAAGCTGAAGATACCAGACTCTTTTAAGTTCTTTTTACAAAAGAGTTATTCCAGTCGCCTATTAGCCCTTTTCTGCATTTTATCCAATTTAAACTAATCTTTCTTCAAGATAAGTGACCAAAATTATACATAACACTTTTAATGAGGTCAAATTCATGTGCTACAATACTTTCATATTTCCATGGCCTTGCTAAAAATACCTTGTTTAGAGCACCAGTGAATCACATCAGCATGGGTACCTGCCACTATTTCTATACTCTGAACTCTATTTCATCTAAGGAACCACTTTGTCCTCTCTTTGCAAGTTTGTCCGTGGGGACACACCTCTGTCCATGGTTTTGATTCCTTCTGGAAAACTGTCCTGTGTCCTGCAGCTTCTTCCCGCTGCTCGGGCACAAGTTCCTGAGCATGTTAACGCCTCCAACTTAGAGTTTAATTCCATTTCTCTTGTACATCCAAATCTTTTGGAAGCTAATTGACTTCCCTGAGGAGTTCATCTTGCTTTCCCTCGTACCCCAAGCCTTATATCTTTATTTTCAGGTAATACAAACTCCTGCAGCAGCTCACAGTCATTCAGCCCCAGGTGATTTTGTGCTACCAGTTCCTTGCAAGGTCTCTGCTATTCATGAAACCTGGAACAGGGCCCCCCTTCATTGCTTCTCTAGCTATTTGGTTAAGCAAACAAACCAACAGGCTGTGGGATGAGCACGTACTGATTAGCTCAGAAACAAACCTTGCCCCTGAGCCTGACCAGGTGAACGACACCAGGTGACTTATCTGAAGAGCACAAGTGTCTACATTAAAGACAGAGCTACCACAGCTGGGTGGAGAGGGATTAGGTGCAGTATTTTGGATGGCCTACGACAATGTCAATGATAAATCACTTGCTTACAACTTCCACTTTAACTCTTTGTCCACTGACTATTGCTGACTATTCTTGAAATGCCATTGAATGGACTAATGAAGGATAAAATAGGAAAGGAGAATTGTGGTAATTCACTCTGTTTTCCTGTACAATGGAGTCCTTTTGAAATGACTGAATTAATTCTTTTTTGAAATACGGAATCTCTTTTAAAAGGCAATATTTTTAAATGATTGTTGCAAGCTACTCTGCAACTATTTACAAGTCTGGGAGCCCACCAGCTTTTGTTTTTGAGTCTAGCTTTTATGACTTTCATCTGATTCTGATCTTCTGAGGTATTAGGCCTGGATTTTCAAAATCAAGAAGCAAGCAAGAAGTTTGTTGCTTAGATAAGTATGAGCCTAAATAAGTTTATAATAAGTTTAATGTAGCTGTTTTGCCATTTTCTTTGTTTTTCTTGTGAAATAGAGCTAAAACTGATTTCTAAAGAGTAGCACAGGCAGAAACATATGGAAACATTAGTTTCCAGCTAATCCAATAGCACACCTATTTTTCTCCTTTTCTTTTTGCAATTTCTTTCAGTGGTGAATTTTTAGAGAAAGGCTATAGAAATCACAGGGAAAACTGCCACTTGATGAAAGGAACCAGACCAGCAGGACCAGTGTGAGGGGAGCCTCCGAGTAGGGAGGGCCATGTCTAGGTGAGACAGTCGCCAAGTACCCGTGCGCCCTTGGGATGGCGCTTCAGATAACGGTCATGGGCACCTTTCCGAGGAGATATATGTATATATTGAAAGGACTGAGCATGTTTAAATAAGAGACCACAGTTCAGTTTATCACGGGCAGCATGTGGGAAGCTCCTTGTGTCATGAAGGGAGAATGCAGGGAAGAAGGGGCCAAGCTCTTCTCATCGGTGGCCAGCGATAGGACAAGGGGAAATGGGCATAAGTTGAAACACAGGCAGCTCCATCTCCATGTGAGGAGGAACTTCTTTCCTGTGAGGGTGCCAGAGCCCTGGCACAGGCTGCCCAGGGAGGCTGTGGAGTCTCCTTCTCTGGAGATCTTCCAAACCCGCCTGGCTGCCGCCCTGTGCCCCGTGCTCTGGGTGTCCCTGCTGGAGCAGGGGCTTGGACTAGATGATCTCTAGAGGCCCCTTCCAACCTTGAATATTCTGTGATCTGTGTCCCACCACCGGCACCTGAACCTCCTGCCTCCTGCACACGGGTTTCATCACTGGCCGTGTGAAGTGAGGCAGGCCCTTGCCCTTGGCAGGCCAGTTCCAGACGGCGTCGCTGGAGGCGCTCAGCGTGCTGGAGCTGCCCTATGTCGGGGAGGAGATCAGCCTGTTGGTGCTGCTGCCCAGCCACGGGGGCACCTCGCTGGCCCGCCTGGAGTCGCACCTTTCGGCCAGCGCCCTGGCGCTCTGGGCTGGCAGCTTGAAGAGAATGAGGATGGACGTTTTTCTACCCCGGTAAGCGGCTTGGCTGCTTCGGGAGGGCTCCGATACTTTCTGTGGAATTGTGTGTGATGGGATTATGTCTGGTAGCAAAACCAAACGAGAGGCTTCCCAGTTTGCTCCTCTGACCACACCATGAGAAAAGCTGCTCAGGCCACCACTTAGGCCTCCAAGGGATGAGCTGGGAGGGCTCACACTTCCTGGTGTGTCATGGGCTGTCTGAAGGAGAAAAGGAGTCGGAGCTGATTCTGCAACTCTTATTTAAAATATCCTGGAGGTGATAGCGATCCTTTAGTGACCTCAAGAGAGAGAAACATTCTTGACCCTTTCCTATACCAAATTCTTCTCTTTGCTTAAGGAAGCAAATATACAAATATATAAGGCTACACACATATATATATATATATGTATATATATATGGCTAATATATAAATATATAGCCTTAACATAAATAAATAAATAAATAAATAGTACATTAAAAATGTGTGAACTGGAGGATCCAGAAGCCCCCACCCCTGACACTCATCCCTCTATGCACAAGTTTGAGCTGCCTGTCTTAGACGTTGGTTGCTGCTAGGGAAGGCAAATTCAGGCAAACACAAAGTTTGATCAAGAAGACCTAGAGGTGACCCCCATCTTAGTAGATGGAAGTGGAGATCTCTGCCTGTTAATGTCTTCAGATCAAGATGGGATGCTCTTCTGGAAAGAACATTTTAATCAGATGGGAAGCAGCTGGCTCCTGAAGCAATAAATGTATGAAATGAGACGTCTTGAAATAAATTGTGTCCTTTCCACCTTCTAGCTCTATGAAACTCTGAGTCCTGCATTTAAATAAAATCTCTAATGCTCATTTCAGATTCAGTATCCAAAGCAATTTTGACCTAAAGATGGCTTTTTCTGCCTTGGGAATTACAGACATATTTGATCCCATCAAGGCTGATTTTAGAGGTATTTCAGGTAAGAGATTCTACTGAATAAGTGATCATTGACTGAACACCTCAAGACCCTCAGACCAGATTTGAGAGATTCAGCAGACTGCTCAGTGCCCTGTGGCCCCTGAATTGATCATACTGCTGTCTCTGTGAAACTCCAACATCCACGTGCTATTCAACTGCTTGCGTTTATTATTCATATTTTTATACCAAGCAATTTTTCTGTGAGACAGCAGGATCTGATAGGAACTGGTTGTTTTTATTTATTTACTATTTTTTAAAAAACAGTAATTTTTTTGACAGATGAAATCTGTCCAAACAGCACCAACCTGGCAAGCAGTTATTTATTTAAAGCTTGAGGATGCCTTGGAACCATTTGCACTGCTAATGTTATTCTGAAGTGGTCATGGGGTTGAGCACAGGAGCTTTTCAGCTGCTTCTCCGAGCTGCCTGCACATGAGGGCACGTGGGTCCAAGAGCCGGGCGGTCTCCTCATCTGAGCCATGGCGAGATGAACAACAACCCCAATATCTCTTGGCGAGAGAAGAAAAGCTGACACGTGACATATTCTGTATTGAGCAGCAGTTCACGTGTCCCAAGGTGCAGAGCACGTACTTGTTCCCGTAATACAGTCCTTGAACCTAAACGTCGTCTAAAATCAGACCCCTTCCACAAAGCTGTAAGCATTTGTGAGCAGCTATATCTTAGAAGGATATTCTAGAAATTGTATGGGCTGCCAAATTTTAATAATCAGTAACTGTAGTTTTGTGTCCTTTTTTTTTAAAAAAAAAAAAAGAAAATAGCAGGCACCAGGATTACACCACTATTGACTAGCGCAAGATGATGGTGCTGGTAGATACAATTGCTCCCAAAGGGGTCGGAATCTTTCAGACTGGTTAGTCTCAAAGGCAATTTTGTTACAGTCCTTAAATTAATAACTTGGATGAAATGATTAAGTTAATAGCTGAGATGAAATGTCTGAGAATTTTGGGAACTTCAGTTTCTCACACAAAAGAAATGCTTAAAATATTTTAATAAAGTAGGTGTTAGTGGTAGGAGTCAGATAATTGTCAGTATTGGCTTTTTTCACTATTTTTTTTTTTTTTTTTTGCCAGAGCAAGGCAGTCTTTATGTCTCCGAAGCTGTCCACAAAGCGAAGATCGAGGTGGCAGAAGATGGCACGAAGGCATCAGGAGCCACAGGTAAATCAAACCAGCCTCCCTTCCCACTTCCAAAGTTTGCCACTTTGTGCTCGAAACAGCACTGAATTCTCAATTACTAGTAGCTTCTCAAAACTCAAGGACTGAAACCTTGAGAGCACGGTACAGAAAATGGGTATGTTTTCCTACTGTTTTCTTCGTTGCATTGCAGCAGTGGTATTACTGAAAAGATCCCGAACGCCTGTGTTCAAAGCAGACCGGCCTTTCACGTTTGTGCTGAGGCAAGCTAACACAGGTATGCAAGCTTCCCCTCCGGCAGCAGCACCCTTCTGCTGGAATCCATCGCAAGTTCTTCCTAAATAACGGGCAGTTATTTAGGCCAGGAAACGGCAGCATCCTCTGGGGGCTTCGGTTTTAATGCATAGTCTGCATAATAAAGTTTATCGTTAGTTTTTTTTTAAGATGGCATGATTTTTAAGGATGGCACTTTGAACTCAGGGAGGTTAAATCAGCAGTTTTCTACAGAGTATGCAGGAGAAGATTTCTATTATAGTTGTAGGCAGCGTAAACATTTTACTGAAAACCTTAAATGCCCTAAGATCTTACACAGGCCCTACAGGCAATTTGGTATCAAACTGGTACCACCTGGATTAGCATCTGAGAAAGATAAATTCTGGATCTTCCCCTCTCTGTGAAATCTGCTCTTTTGCAGAGACACAGCATCCAGGCCAAAGACTGTAGGCACCAGGAGTCCCAGGCCTAAAATTCACCACATTGATACCTGTCTCAGCAGGGTTTGGGGAGAGTCTCTAGGGAGTCATTTTGGAGATGACCAGCCCTTTATTTTGCTGCAACTCAAAAAAGCAGAAACCTGCTGGCGACTTGAGGGATTTTTATAAAAATACGTAGGGTGCAAATATAGTGCATTTATATTTTATACAGAGACAAGCTTCTCTTCCCCCTCCATCACAAAACTCAGCATCTTTGGGGGAATAGTTTTCTCCGGGTCTCTGAGCATCCTCATGCATCGTGCAGGTCAGCACATTGCATGCAGCTCGGAAACTCCTTACCTGAGCCCTGGAAAGAGCCCATCTTGTATCCTAACTTCTGCAGGAACGGCAAGGAAACGTGTGTTTCCTTTGTACGCAACACTCCCATTTTTTGCAAACTCACCTGGCCCCCAAAACCAAGAGTGTGCAGAGCAGGCCTGAAAATCTGAAGGATCCTGGCCTCAGTATTACGTCAATATGTCATTTCAGCTGCACATCCACAAACTACTGCGGACTCCCTGGCAAGGCAAAGCAGTGTGAGGCTTGTGGGCCCCAACAGCCAGGGATTGCACTGGGTGTCATCCAGCAGGAATCCACTCCCTCCAGCACCTCTGGCTGTGCTTAGGAGCGCCCATCTGCACCCTACGCGTTGCTCTGAAATGCCTCAAATCACCAGGTTTCTCTCAGACCTGGCATCATTTCTGCTTGGTTTTTAAGGAGACATATAAGCATGGACTGGGTTTGGTAAAGCACTCCTCGGGACCTGGCAAGGAAACTCAAAGGCATCATTATCCTTATCCCCTTTCAAGCTATGGTTTTGTCCCCTTTACTTGCCCAATAGCTGCATATGTAACATTCTGCTAGAGACAGAAAATCCTGTTTCGACCAAAATACAGGGACATCTCTTTAGAGAAAGCTTTCAGTAAGTGATGAACTAGATAAAAGGGAAGGAAATCATATTGCAAAACAGCATTTATATGAAGCAAAATACATACTTTAAAACTTTCAAGGTTAAGTTCATACAGACCTAGGGAATGAAGCTCTTTGTGTATGAAAAAGGGGAAGAATCAACACACTTTGATTTCAATTCACTTTATTAACCTCATTAGAGGTGCTTAAAACTTGCTAGCCCCATAAAGTTCATAACCAATCTCAATACAGAGTGAAATCCAAGCCTGGCCTGGGCTACCAGCTTCTTGGCAAAGACCTTTTCCTTTCCTAAGGAAATGCTCAGGCTCTCCCAGGCAAGCCGGCCTTGGCCCTGCTCCGAGCAGATTTCTTCCACCCATGCAGTGAACCATCCCTAAACCATCCCTAAACTGCAGTTGGAAAGCTTGGTCTTAAACCCTTAAATAATTTTAATGATCTGTTTTCATTCGCAGGGTCAGTACTCTTTATAGGAAGAGTTACAAATCCTTCATAGTGAATGCCAGACTAACGCACTGTCCTTCTTGCGGTGAGCTTTCCCTCGGTGAAACTAAAGCCTGTACTGTGTATTTATTAAAACAATGTTTAAAAAAATCACTCTTGCAAGAAAACATTACTGAGCGAGTCCTCCACTACTGCCTTACTTTGTACATGCTATAGGGAGCTTATTTTATGGTTGTATACAAGGCGTTAGAGCGACAATGATAGCAAAGACAGTAACCATACAAGCAGCCATGGAAAACCTCAGGGGATTTTGCCACCTGGATGTTCAAGGATATTGGCCCTTGTTCCCTTCTCGTGCCTGCTGAAGCCAGGGGGACTGCTGCTGAGCACGTGGGGCAGCTGAGGCAACACGTGCCACAGAAAAGCTCTGCAAGACATGCTGCTTTTCAAGCATAAAAGCCCAAGACTTAAGTATCCGCAGTCCTGCCCTGGACTTTGCTTCATGTTTCATTAAGCTGAGCTATCAAGGTAGCCTCAGAGCAGCCCAGGGTGCTTGGAGGAGACCGATTCTGCTCAGGGGTGGGTTTTTACATTACTTTTGTATTTTTACATTAGCAACATGCAGCATGAACATTCCTAAGGATATAATATACATAAGGATATAAGGATATAACACAGGATAGGGCTGAAAGCATCTACTTTTTGCCTTGCTTGTTTGTTTTTTAAAGCATCCTGACAGAATTTGGGATAGAGGGAATGTTTTAGGACAAGAGCCAGCAACTCACAGCACAATTTGGGGTGAAGACTGCAAATCAGTGAACTTAAAGGAGCCTCATGGGGAATCTGCTCCTGCTGGGGCAAAGCTTCTGGGTGGAAGATGCGGCCAAGGAAGGAGTCAATGATATTTTTTATCCCAGAGATAGCAGCTTCTGGGTGTTGCTGCACTTGTAAATGGGTAAAAAATGAAACACTGGAAAGAAAATTTCCTCACACCATTCCTCACAGGGGACTGCCCTATCCTACTTCTTGGGATTTTTCCCAAATTGATGCTTGCCATTGCTGTGGATGTGCCTGCAAGCCCACCCCTCTGCCGTGCTGCTCACCTCTCGGTGAGGCATGAGGGACCTAAGGAACCTATGGATTAGCATCCCTCTTAGCCAGGATCCAGCATTAGCTTCTTTTCACTAGTTCACAGACTGATTATTCTGGGAAATTCTGTTCAGAACTGCTTACTCTTTCCTTAACACCAACACTAAAGCACTGATGTTCTGGAAAGAGAAGGCAGAACAAACCGTTCCTATAAAAAACAGGCTCAGTCCTACACAAAGATTAAAATAGAGCTTTTATTGATGGAATAACAAAAGTGCTTTTCTTAAATATTTTTTCAAAATACATTTATACAACTTGCAATAATATATCCAAAATAACTGTATATACAAAACATTACCTTGTTTAATGTATGTGCTTTTTTATTTTTTTTTTTTGAAAATTACAAAGCAACTTTTTTTTTTTTTTTTTGGCAAAGTTCAACCTTAGAGGTGATAGTTTAGAAGGTTGGATTAAGAAAAATAGAACCTGAGGGAAAGTGACACTTAAGTCAATGACAAGCAAGAAATTCTCCATTTAGTTAAATAAAAATGTTTTAAGTGATATTTTTCACATAACAAAAATAACAGAAGTGAAGGAAAAGAAAAAAAAAAGATGATGGATACTTTTCTCATCATATTTTGGAGCAGCTTTTCATTCTTTCAGAGATGGGATTTGAGATAAGAGTGCATGTCAAAAATGAATGCAAGGAAGGAGAGCAGGGCCCTGCTGTGGCTTTCTCTGGGGCGCAGGGTCTCTTAGCTGCTGTTGACGTGGTTGACCTGATTGGACCTGCGGTGGATTTCCTCCAGGAAACTCTCCAGCTGTTCTATCAGCATTCGTTTCTTAAACCTGCGTTTAAAAGAAAGAGTAGTAATGAAAGCACACTGTGACACATGCAGCATTATCACAAAGCTCTTACCAAAGCTGGGGCTGTGATTCCAGATCCAGTGCCTAGCGTTCTGGGAAGCTCCCCTCTTGCTTCAGTGGGAGAGCACAGAGCTGGGGTCCCTGCACCTCTGCTCCAGACCCGTGCGGAGCATCACGCGGCCTTTGCAAGGGCAGGGAAACAGAACTAACTGCTCGGGGTACTCAGCAGTAAAGCTCTGAGGCAGAGGGTTAAGGTAAGAGAATTAAGGAACAAGGGGTAATGGGTGCAAGCTGCCACACAGGCAGTTCCATCTCCATGTGAGGAAGAACTTCTTTCCTGTGAGGGTGACAGAGCCCTGGCACAGGCTGCCCAGGGAGGCTGTGGAGTCTCCTTCTCTGGAGATCTCCCAAACCCGCCTGGATGCCGCCATGTGCTGTGGGTGTCCCTGCTGGAGCAGGGCGTTGGGCTAGATGATCCCTGGAGGTCCCTTCCGACCTCAACCAGTCTGTGATTCTGTGAAATACCCAGGCTCTGGGCCCTCACCTCGACACAGCTCCCTTCCCAATAGCCCCAAGAAACCCCCCACTCCCATGGCTGCTTCCCTCCCATTCTCCCTCCTGATTTTCACAGCTGCTCCCTGCTTATCACAAAGGAGGATAACAGTGAAATGGGCAGTACAGTGCAAAAGGACACATTTCTCAACAGTTTTTCCCAGGCAACACGTTACCAAAGCCACCTCTGGCAGTCACACAAGTACACTGGGTTTTCAGCAGCTCCAAGGAAGGAGCCTCCACAACCTCCCATCCCAAGCAGCAAGTTCTGCCTTATGCTCACGACAGAATTTCTTGCGTTTCAGTCTGTGCCCGTCGCCTCTCACCCCAACGCTGGGTATCGCTGAGAGGAGTCTGGCTCCCACTGCCTTGGTTCCCGCCCGCTCGCGTGTTTGTGCACAGGGATCAGATCCCCCTGGAGCCTTCTCCTCTCCAGGAGCCCCAGCTCCCCCGGCCTCTCCCTGTAAAGCAGATGCTCCAGTCCCTTAATCATCTTCAATGTCCTTCCCCGGGCTCCTCCCAGCAAAGAGGGAGCCCAAACGGAGCCAGGGTGCTCCAGGCGAGACCAGCGAGGCACCGACACACTCAGCTTCCTCGGGAAGGTTCTTCCCATAGTTGGGAACGGTCATCGACTGTCCTGACCTTCCGGAGAGGCATCACTCAGCACAACATCACATCAGGGAAGTGCTTTTTCCTTTCTGCTAAAAGCTCTGTTTAGGTTTTTGACCTCAAAGCCACAGGAACCATTTTCCTCCTGACCAGAAATCCCATTCTCTTGCCAACCAGCTGGACTTGGAAGATGGCTGTGAGTGGGGCAGCCCAGGCTGTGCAACTAACCACTCCTAGGGCTTCTTTTAGGGGGAGGAGAGGGAGTCTACAGTAATAATGTGTTTATTTTATTAAACAACATCACACTTCATACTTAATGTTGATGTTAGCTCACATCCATTCAATGATTCTAGAAAAAAAGTAATACAACTGTCATAGACAGCCCCTGGAAGATGACAGTAGTATATAAAGATCAGGAACCCACATACTAGGGAGCACATGGAGCTTTCAGGCCTTGCTCCGCATATTATTTCCCACAAGCAATTTTTTTGTTTTGTTTATATAAAGATATACTTACTGTTAGGACAACAGGTTAAAATGATTATTTTTTCAGTGTACCTTAAATACTCTTGTTTCCAAGAATAATGACAGGTTTTTCCTTCCTTCCTTCCGAGTGAACATGCAGCAGATTGAGCAAGTATTGCCAGGCTACAAAGATGCTGCAAGGACAAGTTTCTAGCTAGATAACCCCACTACTTTCAAATCCCCAGCAAGCCTCTTTTCTTCAGTGATCTAAATGACCTCCCCTCTGAGGCTGTGGAAACAGGACTACAACATTTCCAAAGGAAGCAAATCTGAAAGGCAGAGCCATGTCCTCAAGGAGCAAATCCGGATCTCAGGACTATTTAGGGCAAGATTTTAAATTGATACAAAATAATGAATTTCCACATTTTCTGAAGACCTAATTCATAGTAATATTGAGTGCCTTCAGTTTTTCAAATTAGCAGTACACTCAGATTGGAATTTCAGAGGTTCAGTGATTTTCTAATGAGTTAATCTTCTCTTTATATACCACTGTATCTACCTACATTTATGCTGGTTTGACAGTTACAACTGCTAAAGCAGTTGTAGAGCTCGAGAGCAAAATTGATATATACATATACAATATATACAGGCTGTAACTATAAGACAATATATACTGAAAACAAGAGGCAAAATGGTGATTTTGTGCAAAACAGTATACCTCGTTATTTTTTCTTCTTCTTTTTTAAGCTAGGAAAAGATTTACTTGCAAGGCAAAGCATCACGTGAGAAGTTTCAAACAAAATCACATCGCTGTCCAACAGTAGTTTTACACAGAAGTTCATGGTGCCATTTTTAAAGAAAAACGCAATTCAGCCACCTACCTCGAAGCTTCTTTAATAACGTTTTGTAAAAATATCAGTCTGGTTTGTAAGCTTCCTTCTACGTGCTTCAGTAAAAAGAAGATTCTTTCATACTCTTAAATAGACAAGAGCAAAAACACAGTTATTTAAGAGATGTCTATACAGATATCTGCTGTCAGACTTGGTTTTATCCAAGTGAAATACAACAGCTTTCATATGGCTTTTTGAAGTTTTTTAAGACATATGACTTATCAACCAGCCTTGTAACAACCACATACTGTTTTATCAATATTAATGCAAAGAAACAAGATAAAAAACAAAAACACCAAAAAACACACACATAAAAAGCAAAATACTGGAGTTTAGAATATTGTTATAATTAGATTACTATATTAGATTTTAGGAGTTTAGATTATGATTACCATCTACTAGTTCTAGTATAATATAAAAGCATGATTTTCATGAACATTGAGGAGGGCAGTAACGTTCATCCAAAACGTTTTGAGAAGAGGTTTTATAACCCAGCTTTTAAGCTTTAGATTTAATTTACCTCAGTCTCAGGTGTTGGCATTTTTCTACCAGCAATCTATTCCAAATTCTTTGCCTAGCTCCCATGGCAGAACAAAAGTGATTTGAGATACTTACTCCGTCCT